GGGGGGGGGGGGCGCGCCATCTGATTGGCTCATGGAGGGCTGTGGGCCACACCTTGGTTCCAGGGGAGCAGTGCACCTGGCTGCGGTCCCGCCCACCGTCTGCAACCTCAGGGGAAAAGGTAGCCGGGTGTGACCGCCGGGAGGCCAGGGGCCTGGTGGGGCTACACCTCCTCCTGCCCCCTGGTTGCAGGTCCACGCGACCCTGGAGCTGTTCGCCCTGATGGTGGTTGTCTTTGAGCTCTGCATGAAGCTGCGGTGGCTGGGCCTCCACACCTTCATCCGACACAGACGGACCATGGTCAAGGTGATGTGTCCGTGTCCGAACGGCGTTTTCTCCCACGTCAGCTTCCGGCCTGTATCTTCAGTTCAATTCCGAATCCCCCGTGAGCCGAGCCCTGCACTCAGCACTGCAGCCCTGGGGCCCTGTCCTTGCCAAGCCTTGCAGAGCCTCGCCCCGGATGTCGGGGTGATGCTAACGGGAGCCACTGTGATTTGGCACCTAGTGTGTGCCCGGCATTGGCACAACAGCCTTTGCGGGAGATGTGTTCCTCTTCCTAGTTCATACCCTGCCGGCCAGACGAGAATGGGATCTAAATCCCAAAGGCTTGGGGTTCAAACCCAGGTCTGTCTGGCCTCCAAGCCCACGCGGATCAGTAACCAGTAACATACACCTCTCTTCCGGGCAGCGAGTAGGCATGAGTCAGAGTGTGCTTTGCCATGTAAAAAGCATGCACGCTTGTCCAGGAGAAGGTGCCCAAGGAATGGCACATCAGGATGCCCTGCAGACATCAGGGGCCTTCCCGGTGGGAATGGGGAGGGCTGAAGGCAGAGGGCGGGCAGATGTGGCCAGGCAGAGTGGCCGATGAGCTGCTGGGAACAGGGCTTCATTCCCCCCGGGGCCATACATCTGTGCCAGCAGCCAGAGGGCTTGTGTCCAGGGGCTGCTCGATGTCGGGGGGCTGGGGGAGGGGGTGCTGAGAGAGAGCTGGAGAGAAGGGAAGGGCCTCTCGAGGCCAGAGTGGGCAGGATCTTGCCAGCCCTCTGTTCGTGGTGTGCAGGTAGGGGCTGGAGAAGGAGCTGATGGAGCTCTGTGCCCGTCCACCCCCAGACCTCCGTGCTGGTGGTGCAGTTCATCGAGGCCATCGTGGTGCTGGTACGGCAGACATCCCACGTGCGTGTGACCCGGGCTCTGCGCTGCATTTTCCTCGTGGACTGTCGGTACTGCGGCGGCGTCCGGCGGTAAGGCCCCGGGGGACGAGACGGTCGCTATCCTGGCCTGGCCCGGACCTCTGGGCCTGTGGAGCAGGACCCAGCGAGTCAAGTAGCGATGGGATCAGTTCTGCACGCTGGGAGAACACACGCCCGCTCACTTCCTTCGAAGTGGACCCGCACAGGGCAGAAGGCGGTCCTCCACTCGGGTTTCGGTTTCCTGGCTCCGGGTCCGGGGCTCTTTCCCGTCTTATTTGCAGCCTCCTGGGGCTGGCTCCTCTCTCGGACACATTATTTGCCCAAACACAGCGGCAGTGACCTCTCAAAGCAGGCAACTGCACAAAGTCTGAGTGACTCAGCAGGCTGACCCCCTCCCCGAGCCCGGGGGCTGGACTCAAACCTGCCCACTAGCCTGGAGTTGAGCTTAGTGCTGCAGACTCCATCTGGAAAGTCTCTTGGCTGGGATGCTGAGAGAGAGCAGGCTGGGCAGTTCATTCTTCGGGCCCATGCTTGTTTCCAAAGCTGGAAACGAGTGTCCCAGGACTAGGTGGCCCTGAAATGCCTTTGTGCGTCCTGCTCCTGGAAGCTCGGTGCCCAAGGCCATGCGCTTGGCCTTCTGCTGTTCCCCCCCACTACTCACCAGGGCCCTTGCCTGCTTGGGCTCCGCAAGCAGGAGGAAGGGGCTGTGTGTGGCGTACCTGGCCCGGTTTTTCCCCGTCGCCCCTGGGCGGAAGTCCCCTGGGAAAACGCCGAGCGTGACGTCACAAACCAGGGTGCCGAGGGCCTTAGTGTGGTGTGCTTGCCCCATGACCCTTTACAACCACAGGCTGGGAAGCCATGTTGGCCACCTAAGGGGCTCCTGCGTGCCACCTCTGTTCTGCACCGTTCTCGGGGACTCTTTATTCTTGATCCTTCCAAGCAGGTCCACCAGGAAGAAGCCGGTCTCTTGCAGGGACCCGACCGGGTGCAGTTAGGTAGAATAATACTTTGGTCTCCGGCTTCCATCAGACTCGACACTTAAACTCGTTTGCCGGGCCCTCCTTCTCCCCAGCCCCTGGCACCCCTCTTTGGTGCTGTGTCTCTCGAGAACCCGTTTACCCTGCTCTCGTTCCTTGAGAATAATGACAGACCTTCACCCACCCCAAGAGCGCCAGCTCAGCGACCTACCTGTAGCACCCACAACCACCTTACTACTACCTGAGTGGAGCCAGCTCCACGGCCTGCTCCTGCTGCTGCTCTCGAGGCCCCTGCGTCCCGGCGCTCGGCCGGCATTTCACGTGATGTCGGCCAGCCCAGCCGGAGGGAACATTCTGAGTGCCCCGGTGGATTTAGAACAGAGGCCCGGGTGTGCGGCGGGCATCGCCTTAAGAATACCTCGGGAGCAGCATTGGGTTGCCAGTCTTGCATGGGATCCCTGCTGGAGTGAATGCTCTCTATGATTGGGCTTACTGGTACCTTCACCCCTTGTTGGCGGTTCCCTCTAGCCAGACCTGGCTACTTATTGGAAGATGTTACCCAAGAATTGCATTTTTTAGTAATTCGAACCAGAAGCTTCCCGGGCCACCCTGTGTGTCCTCCCACCGCTCCCCGGCCATGGCGGTGGTGGTAAAAACCACAGCCCTGCGCAGATCACAGGGCCACGAGTGAGGCTTGCCGGCTTGCCCTCTGTCTGCCTGCTGGGATGTTTGTTCCCTTTGTCTGGCCTGCCCCTGTTGAGTCTGTGGTTTGTCTTTATTTTTTGGTAATGAAGCTAGTGATGTCTCTGGCTTCAGGGAAGTGACTTGTTCAAAGCCACCCAGCAAACCACAGCCGAGGTCAGAGCTCCCCACCTCCCAGCTACTGGGAAGTCCCAGGACGGGCTGGGGTCTGGAGAGGTGGTCTCTTACAGGCGTGGATCATCCTCCCAAACATCCATTAAACACCTCCTGTGTGTACCAGGCATCGTGCTGGGTGAGCACTGGACCGCATCCCCGGCCTTTCTTGCTGTCCTGACACAGGCTTGGTGAGCTGAAGCGGCCTCGGGGTGGCACGGAAGCCCACCAGGCCAGAGTGCTTTCCATGCTTTCCACGCACAGCGTTGCCCCTCCGGGCCCAGAGCCGCTCTTCCTCCAGCCTGGCTGCCTCTTCCGCAGGAATCACTGTGGTGTGTTTCACCTCCCCGGAATAAGGGTTGTGAGGACGGAGAGGGTGGTCTTGTCCCAGAGGAGCTGAATAGCTGGAATAGTTGAAGGTCTGACCTCATTCCAAGACAGCTGGAGAGCTTCCAGAAGGGCTCTGGGTCAGGGGGCCTGGGTGTCCCTTCCTGCTCCACGACTTTCCCCTCCAGGAAGTGAAGAGTCCTTCCAGTGGGAATAGTCTATGCTGAGTGTTCGTTCTGGAAGTGAAAGAGGCAGGTGCCCTCAACTCAGCACTCCTGATGTTTGGGGCTGGGTAACTCTTCGGCACGGGGACCTCTCCTGTGCATCTTAGGATGTTTAGTGGCATCCTTGGAATTTGCGCGCTGGTTGCCAGCAGCACCCCCAGGTGTGATGAACAAACGTCTCCAGGCCGGGATGGGGTGGAGGAAGCGGGGGGCGGGGCAGCGTTGCCCCTAGTTCAGAAGCACTAAAGACGACGCGTGTGGAACATTACCGGCTTTGGCTGCTGGACGGGGTGCTGATGGGGGAGAGCTGATGGGGTGGGGTGACCCTTATCGCTGTGCCCACCAATTACAGGGGGGCAGCGAAGACTCCTCCCCGCAGCCACCAGAAGGCTGACCCTAACAGGGAGGGTCAGCACTGGCCCTAGGGTGTCATCTGCTTGTCACAAGTGGACCGTCCCCAGGGCCCTGCCATCAGCAGGAGGCTCATCACAATCTGGTGATTGTGCGGCTCTGTGAGCTCAGGGGCCACTGAAGCTTCTGTGCTGCGATTTTCTCATCTGTCAAATGGGACAATGAAAGCCCCTGCCAGAGAGGGGATGTGGTCAGGAGTAAAGGAGTGTCCAGGGCTCAGGTAAGGGGCTGAGCCTGGTGCCTGGCCGGGTGGGCACCTTGGTCAAGGTCAGCCCCTGTCCCATTACTGTCGGAGCTCAGGAATGAGGGCAAGGCCTGTCATTGTGGAGGAGTTAGGAAAGGAGATGAGTCAAGAAGTGAAAGAGGCAGGTGCTCTCAACTCAGCACTATACTTACTATATGTATATATATAGAGGTAGTCTCAGGCTCCTTTTTTTCTCAATGTTAGTACCATTTATAATCATAATAACAGGTAATATCAACAGGGAGCCTATTGTATGCCAGACATCCTAAGTGCCCTACAGGAGCCCTGTGAGTAAGGACGCGTGTCATAGCCCACTGGTAGTTGAAGAAGGGGAAGGAACATTCTCCGCCTCGTCCAGGGAGGAGCAGGGAAGCCAGGACTCAGCTGTATTTGCT